CCCCCCCCCCCCCCCCCCCTCCCTCGCTCACCCTTTGCCGCTCATCTGCTCCGGACTCGCGTACAGATACGTGCCCACACCACCGGTGATGGACTCGTCCCCACCCACCCCGCCAAGCTGGTGGTCCGACTCCCACGCGAACGACGCTCGCTTCTTGGAACTAGCCTCGGTAGCTGCCGCTGCGGCCGCCGCAGCGTCGGCGGCAGCGTCCGCGACTGCGGAGACGGCGCCCGCGTTGATGCCGTCGGCGGGGAGTATATGTCTCGACAAGCCAAAGTCCTGGGAGGGCGGGGCAGCGGAGGGTTTTAGACAATGCCTCCCCACGGTGGTGGTGCACACATGGGCGTCGATCGGTCGTGATAGCTTAGCAAGTAAGTAGAAGTCGGAGGGGAAAGACAGGAGAAGAGGTTCGTGTGCAGCAGAGATTCGTGTGTTGCACTTCTCCGTCGGAAAAGAACCGATTTGCACACACGCACGAAGACACCCCGGCATATTCTTTCACTCCTCCTCTCAGCCGGTGGGGCGCGCGGTCCATGCTGAACAAAACCAACAGAAGCGCCCCCAACACACGCGCACAAACTCACACACAAAATCGCGAGGGAGACAATACAAAAAACACATGCTGGCCATGACCGCATCATCCCATCGCTCACCCCGATCTTGACGGCTCCATCCCTCATGAGGAAGCAGTTGGCCGGCTTCAGGTCCCGGTGGATGAGCCCGCAGGCGTGTACGTACTGCAGCCCCTTGGCGATCTGCATGAAGATGTGCATCACCTGGGGCATGTCCACGCGGGTCTGGCTCCTCCGCACGGGGTCCTCGTCCAGGAAGAACTGCAGGTTGTTGTGCGAGCAGTACTGCATCTGGATGTACAGCCACAGGTCGTACACCTCCTTCGACCTCCTCCTGCCCCTCCCCGCCCCCCCCCTGGCCTGCTGCTCCTTGTCCCACGCCCCCTTCCCGAAGTTTCTTCGCCGGTTGGAACCGGAAGCGGCGGTGGCGGTGGCGGTGGCGGCGGCTTCGGGGAACGCAGCGGCAGCGGAGGAACGCGAACGCCTCTTTCTCGTGCCCGCCCCCGGTTCTGCGTCACCCCCCGCGAGGGACGGATTGCCGCCACCGTCGGCAGCGGCAGCGATCGGCCAGCTCTGCCCGCGCGGCCGGCTCTTCCCTTCCGCGGCCGCGGCCGCCTCCGCGGCGACAGCCGCCGCGGCCACCTTGCCCTCGCCGTCCGATCTATTGCCCGCTCTGCTTCTGTGACGGCGGCCCTGTTCCTTGTCCGGTATCGTGGCCGGCGGGCTTCTTCTGCTCGGGACGTCTGACAGCGCAAGCTCCAACGTCGCCGGGGGGGGCGGACGAGACCCCGGGTCTCCGCCACCGCCCGGGTGGCGATGAGGATGATGATGGCCGTTCGGACCGGCGGCGGCAGCGGCGGCGCCGCGGACACTGTCATCTCTCGGCGGGAGCGGTCTCACCCGGTTCCAGCTGAAGCTGTCGTCGTCGTGGTTGCTGCCGTGCCCTCTTCCGTCGTGGCTACTGTCGGAGTCTTCCTCTTCGTTCCCCCGTCCCTCACCGCCGCCATCGCAGTCAGCGCTCCTCTCTTCGCCTTCCTTCGCCGCACCTGCGCCGTCCGACCCGCAGGATGGGGGCCGCGGCGGGGCGTACAAGTCGTTCGTGTCCGCCTTGCCGTCGCTGCAGCAGCCATCCCCCTCCCCCTCCGCGTAAGCGCTGGCGCTGGCGGTAGCGGCCGCGCTGACGGAGCCCGAGGGTCGCCGTCCCTCCGCCGCCGCCGTCCAGCATGTCCCCTCCTTCGAGCAGCCGTCACCACCACCATCGCCGCCGCCATCGTCGCCGGCGTCGCCATCTTCATGGCCGGACTCACCCACCAACCAGCCGTCTCCTGCCCCACCTCCCTCCTCCTCCTCCACCTCCTCCTCTACTCTATTTCCGTCTTCGACGGCCTCTTCTCGTTCGAAAACGAAGCCAGGCATGCTCGCATCATCGTCATCGTCGCCGCCCTCCTCCCCCTCTTCCCCTTCCTCCTCGTGGTACTCCCTCCCGTAGAAGCTGACATCGCCCCACGCGCGCCGCCCCACCCCCGACCTCCCACCACCGCCGCTGTTCCCTCTGCCGTCGGCACTCCGGCTCCGGCTATCGACAGACCAGCCGTCCACACTCTGCTCCTCGAAGAGAGGTCCCGAAACCTTAGGGGTGTACCTGTGTCCCCGAGGCGACGACGACCCCAGCAACGCTTCCCAGCGCGGCGGCGGGTGTTCCCCGCCACCAGCGGCGCTACTGCTGTTGTCATCACCGCCACCGCCGCCATTGCTCTCTGCCGCTACTCCCACCGCCGCCGTCCCCGGGCCATTCGGCATCACGAACAGCGGGCTCTGGGGAGGAGACGCTCCAAACCCGAGGCCGCCGAGGCTACCAAGGCCGTCGTCCAAGTTGCCGCCGCGTCCGCCGCCGCCGCCGCCGCCGCCGCCGCCCCTGTGTCTATTGGCGTACGCGTACGTCTTCGTCTTGCTGCTGCTCCCCGCCGCCGTCGTGCCGGTGCCGGTGTGCTGCGCTTGTTGTTGGCGGTGGCGGTGGTGGTGGACATAGGGGAGGTGGCTAGCCCGGGAGCAGCCGCCGCCGCCGCCGCCGCCGCCGCCTCCGCCCGTGGTCTGGTCCCAGCTCTCGCTGACGGCGGAAGGGGCGCCCTCTTCTCGCAGCAGCTCCTCATCTTCCTCCGTGAATTTCTCTAGCCACGCCTGATTTGACGAAATAGCGCGCGGGTGTTTCGTGTGGTCATGGGGAATGGAGGTCGGGTCGGGTTGGGTTGTTGTGTGCTGGAACAAGAAAAAAATGTTCGGGGGATCGGGGAGGCATGCGCACGGGATGGGTGTATCCCCTGCCTAAGCACGCACGTGCGTCAGCACCAAACAGGGCGGCAACTAGTGAATCTCTCCAAGCCGACAACCGCAGCTTGCTCTGCAAGGAACACCAGACTAAACCTCCACAGTGTGCCGTCCGCAGATATACAAAGCAGCTGCAAAAAAAAACTTGAAAACACACACACACGCACAAAACTTGCCTGGTAGTAGCGCACGATGTTCGGGTGGTCCAGCAGCGACATGATCTTCACCTCCCGCAGCACCTTCGCGAGCTGGGGCTGCCACCGCGGGTCGGACGACAGCCTGATCTTCTTCACGGCGTAGTCGTGCCCGTCCAGGCGGTTGCGGCACTTGAACACCGTCCCGAAGCCCCCCTTGCCGAGCTTCTGCCCCTCCACGAACTCCGTCCGCAGCCGCCGGTTGGTCACGAGCAGCGCGTCCTTGTCGTCGCCTCCCGTGTCGACAACCGCAGAGGCGAGGTCGTCATCTCCCCCGCCGCCGCCGCCGCCGCTGCTGCCGCAACCGTTGCATGCGCCCAATACCAACTCCTCCTCCTCCGTCCCGGAGTCGGCGGATGGGCGCGGGCTCCGGCTTGGCCGCCTGCTTCCCCCCCTGTCGCGCGCCCGTCCCCCCGTCGTGGGGTGGTCGGTCTTGGCCCTCCTTCGCCCCGACCCGCCTTCCCAATCACTGCCGCCGCCGCCTTCGTCGTCGGGGGAAAAGTCCCGGCTACGGTGCCTCTGCGCCCGCGGCTGCCTTCGCTTGCCGCTGCCGTCGTCGTCGTCGTCCTCCTCCTCCTCCTCCTCCTCCTCCTCGTCATCGCTGTCGTCGCCATCTTCCTCCGACTCTCGTCGAGAACCAGGTCCCAGCGAACCCGACCCCTTCCGCCGCCGTCGCCGGCCGCTAGACCGCGGGACCGCTCCCGCTTCCGGAGCTCTTCGGCGGGAGGAGGAGGCGGTCGAAGAAGAATCCTTGCGGCTCTTTCGTGCCGGGGGGCCGCCACCGACCCCGCTCTCCGCTAGAGGCGAGATCTCGGACGTGCGGGCGCCCGATGCGGCAGACGAAGGCGAACCCCCGTCCAGTCCTTCCAATCCCGCCAACACCTGCCCCTCGTCTAACCGAGCCGTCGAGGACAGCCTCTCCGCGTTGCCGCCGCCATCGGCGACTACAACCTTTCCACCTCCTTCGCGAGCAGGCTTGGGCGATTTGGACCCAGAGGCGTTGGCAAGACGGGGCGAGGTGACAGGGGAGGAGGACACGCTTTCGACCCTCGAGTCTATGCTACTGCTGCTGCTGCTGCTGCCGATGCTGCTGCTTCGACTGCCCCTGCCGCCGTTCAGCGGGGCGGCGGCTCCGTCGACAGCAGCCGACACCGCACGGCTGAGCTGACCACCGTCGCCTTTCGCCGCCGCGCCGTCGGGACAATCGGGGCCTCCTTCCTCCGAGCCGAAGAGCGAATGCCACCCTTGCCGAGGGTGCCGCCAACATCTACCGCCGCCGCCGGCGCCATCGTGCCCCGGCGGGGAGTGGGACTGCCGCAGCACCGGCAGAGAGTGCACGCGCTGGATGTGGACCTCGTGCATCGACCTGGCCCGCTGTAGCACCCCGTCGGTCGGGGAACTCCTGCCGAGAGAACCCCTACCCTCTCTTCCCGCGGCGGGCGACCCGTTGGGGCCCGAGCCAGTGCACATGGCCGATGCGCTCGCCCGTTGCTGGAGAGAAGGGGAGGTCGCCATCGCGGGGAGGGGGAGTTCCTCCCCCGGCGACGAAACGCCTCCGAGAAGAGAGAGCTCCCGGGCCGGGCCGGATCCAGCGGCGGCTCCGGCGGGGCGCTTCCTATCGTCGCCGGTAACGACGACGTCGGGGCTGCCGTTCCTGCCAAGCTTGGTGGCGGAACCCGCCCGGCGAGTTATCGTCGTCATGTTCGCCATGGCCGTCGCGCCGTGCTTGTACGCCAGGTAGGCGACGCCGGCGACGATGGCGACCACGCCCCCCACCAGGGCCGCGATTACCCCCCACGACATGAACAGCCCCTTGCCCGTGCTGTCGCCGCCCGCCGCCGTTTCCTCGTCCCCCTTCCCGTTCTTGCTCCTCCGCTCTTCGATCATCGCCTTCTCGACGCCGTCGAGCAGTGCTTGCCTCCAGTCCCCTATTCCCATGGTTGTGCCTCCTCCTCTTCCTCCGCCGCCCCCGCCACCGCCGCCGCCGCTGCCGGCACCAACTCCGCCACCGCTGACTGCATCGTTACCGCTAGCACCCCCTACCCTGATGCCGGTCTGGTCGACCGGCCGCGCGGCCTGCGGCGGGACTTTGACCACCGGGGGTGGTGGCATCTGCACTAACCCGGCCGCGATGCCGCCGCCGCCGCCGCCGCCAAAGTCCCCGCCCCCGTCGCGTGCGTCCCTGCCCGCCGCGTCGACGAACGACCTCCGGCTGGCCATGCCCAACGGGTGAGGGTACCGGTCTTGAGCGGTGACGGAGAGATCCTCGACGGCGGCCGCGTGGAGCGGTCCCCTCCTCAGCGACGACGAGACGAAGAAGTGGCCGTTCAGGAAGCCCACCTGGGCCTGCAGGTGTCCCTTGCGCAAGCCCGGCTGCAGCAGGCCGGTGGCCTTGCCACCGCCACCGCCACCGCCGCCGCCACTGCCACCACCGCGGGCCCCGGGGAGCCTCGCGACGGCCGCGGGCACCACTGCTTTCGCCCCCGGGTCGTCGAGAGTCGACGACGCATCCCAAGTTCCACCGTCATCGTCGTCTCCCGTGGAGGAGGAGGAGGAGGAGGAGGAGATCGAGCTGACGGAGTCTTCATCGCCGTCAGAGCTACCGCTAGCCGAATCTTGCACCGCCGCCGTCGCCGCCGCCGCCTCCTCTGCCGCAGCAGCAGCGGTGAGTTCGTGGTCGTCGCCGTTCGTCAGCAGCAGCAGAGGCCCCTCGTCTTGCTGGTGGGACCAGTCCACCTCCTCGCCGGCAAGCCAGTCGTCACTGCCGCCACCGCCAACGACGGAAGCTGCCGGCATCAAGGAGGTGGTGGCGGTGGTAGCATCACCGGGGTACCTGCCCGGCGGTGTCCGGAGCATCGACATCGGGGGCGGGAGTATGTCCACCCACTCTCGGCCCCGTATGCCGTACAGCGAGACGGCTAGCGCGGGCATCTCCTTCCGCCACAGCACGCTCCCGTCCATCGGGTCCATCGCCACCACGTAGGCATTGTTCTCGTAGAGCAGGTAAGGGAACCGATCGGCGTGCTCCTCCCCAAACTTCCCTCTCCGCCTGGTCTGCTTCCCGCCGCCGCCGCCGCCGCCGCCGCCGCCGCCGCCGCCGCCGCCGCTCTCTGCCCCGCGCGGAATGTCCTTCTCCCAATCTTTACTCGAACTCCAGCTGCTGCTGCTGCTGTCGCTGCCCCACTCGTCATCGTCACCGCCTACCGGCAGGGGCAGGGCCTTGACCGAGTCGTCGTCGTCGCTGCTGCTGCTCCCCGACCTCGCCCGGATCACCCTCGTGTAGCCCTCGCGATCGGCGGCGGCGACCTTCGCGCGCGTCAGCGCCGTCGCGCCGCCCCTGCCCTGGAGGTCGAGGGCGCTGAAGTGGGCCACCGTCACGAACCACAGCTCCTCGGAGGTCTCCGCGTCCAGCGCCCGGACGACATACTCGTCGCGCTGGAGCAGGAGGTTGCTGTTGGGCGGCGGACGATGCGGCCGTGGCTGCTGCTGCTGCTGCTGCTGGTTGCGGTGAGAGCCATACCCCCCCCATTCCCACGGGCCGCCGTCCCTACTGCCGACCTCATCGTCCTCGTCCTCCTCCTCTTCCTGCTCCGTCGGCCCCCAACCCTTCCCGCCGCGCCCCCTGCCGCCGTCGCCCGCTTCCCGAACGGGTCTGCTCTGAGCCCCGCCGCCGCCGCCCACGCGCCTGGCGGTCCCCGTCTCCGTGTCGAGGGAGAACAGCTCCGTGGTCTTCTCGCCAATCAGCAGGCCGCAGCTCTCGTCCTCCACGATACCCCCGTGCGAGTCCGCGTTGACCGCGAGGCACGCCATCCTCGGCTCCAAGACCAGGTCCGGCGCGCTCGACGTGAGCACGCTGAGCTTCCCGTTGGCTCCGAGCGAGTAGATGACGCCGTCGAGGCCCGGGACGACGAGACCTTCGCCGAGCGCGTTGCGGTACCTCTGCTGCTGCTGAGCCCCGCCGCCGCCGCTGCTGCCCGCTGACGTGCTGCTATTCTCCGAGTCCT